ATGACTTACATCCGGAAGCAGGGGGGAACGGTGTCTCCGTCGCTTCTCCAAGAGACGTGGCAGTTCCTCCTATGGTGCGACTCACACGTTATCAGGGTGCTACCTGTTTATCTCCCGGGGGTAGACAACGTCCGTGCGGACGCTCTGTCTCGCCGGATCCTCGCTCCTCACGAGTGGAGGCTCGACCCGGGGATATTCGGGATTATCTCCCAGTTATACGGGTCGTTCCAGGTGGATCTGTTTGCGTCTGGGGTGAATCACCAGACACCAACGTTCTGCTCCCGAGTCCCCGACCCGAGGTCGGTGGCACCGGACGCCTTCCAGCTAGATTGGACGGACAGAATACTGTGGGCATTCCCCCCAGTACCTCTGATTTCCAAGGTCCTGTCTCAGCTAGCCACTCAGCCTGCGCGACTACTTGTGCTCCTGGCACCCCTTTGGTCGGCGCAGAGTTGGTTTCCAGTCATACTCAGGTTTCTGGCTCAGCCTCCTGTTCTATTACCTTTACGACCGGACCTCCTATCCCAGAACGAGGCCCTCCACCCGAATCCCAGGATTCAGTGGGTGGCTTGGCCACTGTCCGGAATCGCCTCCAGGAGAGCGGTATTCCTGCACGAGTTGCAGACACAATACTGGCTTCGCGGAGGGATTCGACAAACGTTCAGTACGAGGATAGATGGGCCTGCTATGCGCGCTGGTGTGTCGATAGAAGGATTGCAGATCCCTTTTCTGCAGATCTCGTAGCCGTACTTGAGTTCCTCCAGTCGCGACTAGATGTCGGCCTGGCCGCATCGACAGTCCGGGGGTACTCTACAGCTATCGCTGCCTTTCACGTCCCCGTCGACGGGGCACTTTTGGGTGCGCACCCATTAGTGCAGCGTTTTTTAGCAGGTGTGGACAGGATCCGACCGCCTGTCCGGCGGATCAGTCCCCCTTGGGAATTGTCAATCGTTCTTGATTGGCTGTCCGGTCCTTCCTTTCGGGATCTGTCGTCTCTCTCTCTTCAGCTGTTGAGCTGGAAGACGGCGTTCCTTGTGGCGGTAACGTCCGGCAGACGGGTAGGCGACATTCACGCAATGTCAGCCGATCCCGAACTAACTGTCTTTCACCGGGACAGGGTCAGTATTCGCCTGCCGGACTCTTACCGTCCTAAGGTCGCACACGCCTTCCACGTGACGGCTCCTATTGAGCTACCTGCTCTTTCACAGCCTTCCTCGTCGGGGACCACTACAAGACATGCTCATGTATTGGATGTCCGCAGGACCCTTAAGTCCTATATCAGCAGAACTAAGGGTATCCGTAAGGATAATCAACTATTTTGCTGTTATGGCGGTAGGAAGGCTGGCTCACCTGCGAGCAAACAAACTATCTCGCGGTGGATAGTCTCTACTATATGTACGGCGTACACGCTTCAAGGCAGGGACCCCCCTACCAAGTTGAAGGCTCATTCGGTTAGAGCAGTGGCTACGACACAAGCGTATGCTGCGGCTCTGCCCATTGAGGAGATCTGCTCCGCGGCTATTTGGAGCCAGCCGAGCACGTTCATCAAACATTACCAACTCGACAAACACTCAAGCGAGCGTGCTCGGTTTGGTCAGTCAGTTCTCCGAACTGGGCAAAGTACTACATCTCTAGCCGATTGAGCCTTCGAGATTTTAGACCGCCCGGACCGGTTATAACACTGCTCAGTAACGGTCCGGATTTTATCTTCTACGGTCGATACAATACCAGCCATTACTAGTCGATAATCATCGTAATTGCACATGCACTCCTTCGATTACGGGGACCCTCTGGCCTAGCTCTGTGCGGGTTTATAGTCTCTCGTGATCTGTGCCCCCAATATCACTTGTTCAAAAAAGTGGGTGGGGTGGGGGGTGTGTGTGTCTCGAGTTCTCGATATGATGAGCCACAAAGAATGGCTCTTTTCATTGTGTATGGTCGATAACGCCCTGTCTCCAGCCCCCGCCTTTCGACGGTGGTGCCTCACGATAAGGTTGGTTCCATTTATTGAACTCTTGTTTATTCATTGAAATAATCAAAATACGATGTATTTTATGCACGCTTGTTGCTGACGGATGCCACTTCCTAGATTATCTTTAGGAGTCTATCTTGATGCAATAAGTGCCCCAAGGAGGATTTAATCTGAAAGAGAATTTTACAAACCTGTAGAGGTTATGAATTCTCTGATGAAATCCTCCTTGGGGCACGGCCACCCGCCTCCCCACATTCCGTCAGCATTAGACATATGGAAAGTGATTTGGGTGAGAGTTGCTTCCCTTGGCGTGACGCGCCGTGGAGGGTGAGGCACCATAAGGGTGGACGTATATCATACAAAAACAAAGTTTTTTGTGTGGTAACAATTTTTATTAAGGAAAATGGTTACAACTATGTCATGTAGATTTTCTTGAGCCAGGAAAATGCAATAAGTGCCCCAAGGAGGATTTCATCAGAGAATTCATAACCTCTACAGGTTTGTAAAAATTCACAGCTATAATATATAATCCCCAGATAAAATCGCCAATAGCTATTACGTACGTTTTGCAAAGTTCATAAATTGATAGTGAACAAGTATCTACCTTTATTGAAAGAGGCAAATAAACAACTGTATCGGCGAGTTATTCCGTTCGCCATTTGCAAAAACATGTGATCAGCTGTTTCCTGTGACGTCACAAACGGTGACCACTGTGATTGCTTCCTGCTGTTTAAAGCAACACGGTACACAAGGAAATGAGCATTGATAATAACGGGCCGATTGGTATTGTCAGGTTGTTTACACAAACATTTTCAAGTTGTGGGTGCTTAGCGATCGTGTTGGGAGTAAGGGCTTTATTCCTTTGTTTTCGAGAGATTAGTTTAATAAACTGGAAAAGCCTGTGAGTAAGTGATGGTCATTCAATGTGTTCATAGTATGATAGTTTATTTAATTCAATTGGATTAACATACAATATTGGTGTAAAGGGGGTTATAAAAGTTGGTATATTTTTACTGACTGACGTTTTCATCATGAGTTTTAAACGAAAACGCCATGCTTACGATGCTGAATTCAAACTGCGAGTCTTCTCTCCAGCTGATATATTTTCTCACGGGTTCATAATTCTATATACACCGACTCACAAAATGGCGCTTGGTTGTTGATGGCAACATATAACGATCATTATGAGATTAAAAAACCCCACGAGAAACAGCTTCCCACATTATGAAAGTGGATGACTGGTTTGTTAAATCTTTATTAGAAATAATAATGACTTTTTCAATATAATTACAACGTTTTTCATCTTATATTTTTTAATATCTGCGAGTACCGGCACATGTCTTTCAGTCCGACTTCGCAGTGTTTTTTGTCTTTCAATTCCTGATTCGGCTTATTTGCGGGTCATATCATTTTCTTTCGTATTTCAATGGTCAAATTAACACCTCGGCTTATCTACGGGGTCGGCTTATCCGCGGTCATATACGGTACTCGCACAACTGGGATGGATCGTCAATGAGCTCAATTCACTCCATCCTTCAAGCTCCAACTCATAGGCGGCCTGTTCCGCCTGGTACCCAACAACAGGTGGCACAAACTACAGCATCATCTCCTTCCTGCCCTTCACCAAGCTCATACACTTCGTAAATGGCAGGTATTAATGGGTGTTCTCACGTCAGTTCAGGATCTGAATCGTTCAGCGTTCTCTGGACAGGCCTAAAAGCATAAGCTTCCAGCCACCTGTACTACTTCCCAGGTTTCTGCTGAATATCAAAAGCACACCGAAGCTATCTCTTCTTCTGATCGTGCCTTGGTGGCAGGCATGGAACTTGTTCATGGATCATCGAGATCTCGCCAGTCACCACCCTTGGGTGGCCACATTTACAGGTACATCCCCACAGTTATGGCAGCTTGAGTTAGTGAGTTACATGCCGTTGATGTCTGCTAAGTACGATTCGAGCGCAAAGGGCATGGTTCTGTCCATCTTGGGCTGTCCTGGGATTTCATTGCAAAGAATCAACTACCAGAACAACTATTCTACCTTTTTCTTCGATAGTGGGTTCTAAGGACCAGGATGAACTTCTTCTGTGCCCAGTTTGGGCCTTACAGGTTTTCCTCCATCGATCCAAGACACAATGTTGATCTCGGAAACGACTGTTCATTCTGGTCTCGCCTATATCCCAGACGGAAGTCAATTGTAACACTATCTCACTGTGGCTGCGCTCCATTATCCTGCTGGCTTACAACCATGGCTCTCCACAGCAATTGTTCTATCAAGTCCATCATGGATGGTTGTTTTTTGCACTTGGGTAGTGTCTTTGCCAGTCATTATCTCTGAGACTTGGCTCTTGAGGATGTGCAAGGTGTTCATAGTTTTCAGTCCCCTGATGGTGGCGCAACAGGTCACAAAGCCCAGACCATTTTGACTTCTACACCTTGGAGCTGACCCTGCGACCTCTCTGGTAGAAATTACCCCAGACTAGAGGGTTTCATGCTTCTGTTTATTCCAGCTTCTTGAATGGGAATTTAGAACTTGAACGCCACCCGTTTTCTATTTTTCCTTTTTTCATGACTGGCCTACACACCTTTTACTCTCACTTGTGTGGCTCTATCAAACAGGAAAGGTCTGTGTTTTCTGTTCTTTCCCTGCCCATGATGCTCTGGTTACCTGAAATGGTAGAGGGTCTATCCTGAAATTCAATCTGAACGGTATCTCCCCCCCCCCCCCCCCATTTTGTTTGCTGCATTAAGGTATTGATGCAGGATAAGATAAAAATTGTTTTAGTAGAATCCAAAAAAATTTTTTCATTTGGATACCTATCCTGCATTACTATGTCTGTTGTGCCTGCCCATCACTTTGCTACCTCCCCGTGAAGTTTTCAGGTGTTTGTACTTGCAGTTATGACTTCACCACTTCCTGTCACATGGTAGCTGTTCAGAGAGCAAATGCAACACAACTGGTTGGTTCTAGTCAGAAAACAGCAGTAAAAGCATTACGATTTTACTAAATTTGATGTTATTATTATTCCAGCTCATTGGCAAGGCTTGTCAAGATTCAAAGAAGACCTGGGTCATCTGATTACAACAAAAGGGAACTACTCCGCAATGTGAAAAGTGCAATATCAGGAACTGCCAAACGCTTCTCAGGGTACCAGCAACATGTAAGATTGGCAACATGTCAAAGAATTTGAGTTTATGTCATGTTAGTTATTATGCAGTTACAGAAATGTGATTCTGAACAGTTAAAATTTCTTTCACATCTATATTGTTCTAGTACAGTACTGAGAATAGTATAAATTTATGGTTTTGTTTTTTCTTCAGGATGCTCATGAGTTCCTCAGTCAAGTCCTTGATCAGCTGAAGGAAGAAATTGTCAAATTTAACAAATCAACACCAAGTCCAACAAGAGACCCATCAGAAGACATTGATCTTGTTAACCCAACCCTCGACAATTTTGAATTTGAAGTACTGCACACGATAACATGCCTGAAGTAAGTCAAAATACAAATATTACTGATCATTACATTAACTGGACATAATTTGCCATCACCTTGACTGATGTCAGAAATGCATATGCTGCACTAATTGACCTTGCTATGACACTGATCCACAAAGGATTTAGTGTGGTATTTGCTTGTAAAGTTGAGTACTTTGATGTAACCATTGGAATTGCAAGTATGTTCAGAAACCCAGTGTAAAGTGTGTTGTTTTGTGTTAGCAAGTTGTACATCCTACATGACGTGATGGCCCCTGAACTAGTTCTATGTCTGTTGTTTTTCAGATGTGATGAAGAGGTTGCCAAGTCCGAGCAGTTCAATGATTTGTCCTTGGAGATGCCACAAAGAAGGTATTGGCTGCTTTTCATAAGGTGCAGTTAGTCATGGCACACAGGTCACACTATGCCTCCAATATTGAACAGTTGAAAAGTACTGGGAAACATGTCTACATAATCATGGCACAATGAACTCTAGAAGTGTGTCAGTTTCCTCATGATCAATGGAGAATAGTTTGATTCATCTAGTATATTGTAGTGTCCTTCCTAGCATGTTATGAATATTTCTCCCGAAACTCTTAGCAATAACATGCTATTTTCATTCTAGTCACCAAGGTTACCCCAAGTCTCTGCAGGATGCTTTAGATGTGTTCCTGCAACAAGAAGAAATTGATTACACATGTGCGAAGTGTGGTCACACCAAGTCTAAAGTCAAACACAAGTTCACAAGGATACCCAGGTGTGCTTCAATAAGTTATGACACTAAATATTTTGTCTCAGCACTTAAAACCAGAAATTCATTTTTAATGGATGTAATGATTGACATTTAGGTCTCAGATGCAGTTTCCATATTTGTTCATGACCATGTTTTACAGATGGAGGTATCAATTTGACCTTTAGTTGTCAAGCAAAGAGATATTTGTGAGTGACATTATTTTTTGTTTTTTTTATTTCTGCAGGATTTTGATTCTACACCTTAAAAGATATGCATACAGTGCTGCAATATCCCTACATAGCAAGATGGGTCAGCGGATATTCATTCCAAGCTATGTGTCCCTGTCCTCTCATGTTGATCGTGATGTCCAGTGCCCTCCACCCATACCATGTGTGCTGCCACAGTCTAGGTAACTTCAACACTCTACACCAGTGTGGGGACTCCATGGCAGAATAGGGCTGTTATAAAGAAAAGCCAACTAGTGATTTGTTTGTTATTTAGTGTCACACTCGATGATATTCCCGCTTTATGGTAAATAATTGAGCCTGGACTAAAGAAACCAGTGATTGATATCCTTACCCAACGAAATATTCTGTCCGAGTAAAATGACACTCAATCACTACATCTGACTACTCAATCCGTTTAGTCGCTTTGGATTGCTGAGGACCAATTCTAAGTGTGACTACCCACTGGATAATGATGACAGGGTGATTACAATCAGTTTTCAAAACAATTTTAAAACCCAACAAGACAGTTGGGCATTTGACCCATTAATGTTGCCTGCCCATCTTCGAGGTTACCTGCCCACATTCAGACATTATATATATTGAGAAATTGCAAAAAAAAATAGAGACAAATTGCATCTGGCTCAAACAATTACTTGAGAATCTACAAGGAGTTATAATAAACTGAATATATAAGTAGGCTAAATATTTTCTGCCAGACAGTCGGGCAGGTAGAGGAAAGTTTCATGCAACTCTGACAGAAAGGTTTCCAGCCATGGGCAGGCGGTCAGGCAGTTATTTCGGACACCGGTAACAAAGTCTGACTTTGCTGATTGTTTCACCGTACCCTGACAGCATTAATCATTGCTGAAGTGATGGCTCAGACTTGAATGCTCAACAGGCTCCCATGAATTTGACCAAGAACAATGTGCACTAACTCACTCAACCTCCTCTCTACATTTCTTTAGCCTGTGTGCCTCATACTAGGAATTTGTCTAGGCTTTTTTACAGGAGCCAATGTAATAATGGTAGTCTTAGACTTTAGTCACTTGTCTGATATATATGAATTTTTTTTCTTTTCTAGTAAGATATCCTAATAACAGTCAATAAGACAAGCAACTCCTGAAAGTGGAGAAAGAAAACATTGATACTGATATATGAACGTCACTAAGGCACTAAACTTTCCCAGTTGGTGTTATAGTCATATTTGGGAAAATATGAGGCATACGCCCCAAAAATTTGCCTTATCTGGAACATGCGAAGGAATCATTTATCGTGTTTAAGATCGATGTAACCCTAACATGTCTCATGTGATCATTTCTTTTTGGCTTCAGTCCCATGAAGTCCCTGCCAGACTTGGATGATCGCAAGGGAGATCACTCTAGGAGGAAACTTGACTATACTTCTGACTCAAAGTAAGATCATCACTATGTAGTATTGTTTCTATCTTGTCTGTTTCATGGAGAAGATTAACATAACCTACAAAATGTATTTCTGACTAGTGCCATTGGGAGAGACTCTATGGCAGTGTAACAAGCACACTGGTTGAAGTTATTCAGGTCCTTTGACCTGTAATGTATTTCCTATCCTGTGTACGAGACAAACTTTAGATTACTCATGAAATAATGGAAATTAAGAATCCCTTAATTTGTGTAAGTATCTTTATGATAATATGGTGTGATTGCAACTGCATCTTTTATAGTTAAGTACGGACAAGCTAGATTAATTACAATAAACTAATCAAATGGTGTTGTGTACCAGGTACACTTTCAAGTCCCTACACAAGCCAGGTGAGGGGAGCACAGACCAATCAGCCCCTGACACGGAGAGGAGGAGCTCTACAGATCTGGAAGACAGCAAACTGTTTCCCAGCTTTACATTGGTAAGTTACTGCAGCTGTAGAAACTCACATTCTTCCGCTCCGCCTTATGATGATAACACATAGCAAAACCCCTAAAAAATGTCACATTTCTACTAGTACTTATGATACCTACCGTATTTTCTTGAGTATAGTGCGCACTTTTTTTCGAAAAAACACTGCTGTGTAGAAGGGGGTGTGCATTATACACGAATTATGAGTTTGGATGTTTTTTTCCCCCATGGAAAGACATTACCGTGAGCACGAAACACCGGAAATACCATGTCAACAAATCCATACTGAAGTACGCAAAATAATCATGTAATTACACTGTCTGGCTATAAAAAGTGTTCTTTGTATATCTGGACTTATGTTTGTAATTTATTTCATTAATTTTATTCAAAATTCCTTATAATATTGTTTTTATTAATTTCGGCGAAATCGTGTGTGAAGCGATCGGAAGATCGCACAACTCACCGTTATTAACAGCAACCACGGTCAGAATACCGCTATTGACGCCTTGAAACAAACTTTAGTTGACAGAGAATGGATACATATATCATAAATGACATACTTTGACTCGTTAAAAGTCATATTTGTTTTTGTTTGACGATTCTATGTCAACATGAAATTCTCGCGATCACATGCGCGTGAGCCTTGACGGTGACTGGTCAGACTGGTTCCATGTAAAAAATAATACCCGGGAATAGTGATCAGCTGCTTTGCTTAGGGTTATTATTATTTTAAATATGTTTAGTAAAGGCTGCATATAATTAAGAAAATAATGGAATATATTATTCCTGATAAAAAAAAATAGTTTCAGATACAATTGTTGCCGATCCTTGCATTAAAAATCCTATAAAGTTATATCATTGGGTGTGTCTTGACCGAATCACCGGTCGATTCCAAGAAAACGTGTGTACAGCTGATTGCTGTTTCCGGCTTAGTTTACAAGAAAATACACAAGGTAATCTTAATCCCTAGATATAAAACAATGCCTAGCAGAACAATAAATACTATTTAAACAGTAAATAAACATGTCTGGTGATTTTTTATCTCAAATTTCGAATTTGTACTGACGAAGTTTCTCAGCACCCGTTCGTTTGCCAGACTTCGCTGAGAGGGTACGGTGTAAGTTTTTTCTGCACATAATATTGAAATTTCTTTTTTTCCGAAATATTGAACCCGCTAGATGGGGGTGCGCATTATACATGGGTGCGCACTATACTCAAGAAAATACGGTAACTGTTGGGCAGTTTGGCAAGGACTACGGGACTAGTGCCACTTTCTAACGCTGAGCACTGACAAAAACATATTGATCAGATTGTTTTCAAGAATATTTTAATTGTAAATATTTGAAAATATATTAGAAAAGTGAGCATTTGCATGGCAGCCCAAAATGTTAGGTGGACTCGTGTCAGTGATCAGTCCAAGTGTTTATGTTTGGTTTGAGAAGTGCTTATGTTATATACTTCTGCAGTGTTGCTGTATTATTTGGGTATTTTGGACTTTTGTTAAGACTGGCTTCACATCATATACAGTTAGTAGGAGCTGTTCAACCTGCATTTATTCTCCATGTGGTTACAATTAATCCAGTGTTCTCACAGTGTACAGCTGAAGATTGTCTGACATAGACAATACTGCAAAAACTGTTTAGACTTACATACCATTAGTTGAACTTTTTCCAGTCTTGTAACCCTGGTAACACTGATGGTTTCAGGATGAATCTACTGAAGATGCTGACATGGCACGTGCCATTGAGCTAAGTCTACAAGATGCCAAGAAGCAGGAACAGGTGAGTCTGCTGTCAGGGATCACTGGATTTGTTGAAGTACAAGGATAGGTTTATGATCAAACTTCAATGAATATATACCTCGTGAGAGCTTTCATTCTTTGAATATCTTTATGTGTAGAATAAAATGTAGCAAAACTTTGAAGTGACGTCTAACATTCTCACCATCAAATCATCAACCAGGAAAAATTGCAACATCAGCAGGCCCTAGAGCCTGGTTTATTATTCAACTTTTCAATCTTCATACATGTTTATTATCCCTGACAAACTCATTATAATGAATTATTTAGTGCAAATCATTGAAAAACATGTGATCACAGATTTCAGTATAGTTTCATTGGTTATTAATTGAAACTAATCAATTATCAATTAATTAGATCAAGACTACTGGGATTTCTTTCTGTTGATATGTTTGAAAATACTTTAACTAGAAACAGTAGCTTGTTGTTTTTAGCTCATCAAAACATGTTAGTGTTCTTGCTTCATCTATATTCAAGAATGCCTGTTGCTCATATTACTAGGAACTTTTTACTACCTGCTTTGCCTGGATAAAAAAAATTATGTCCTGGTGGGGAGCATTTCTGGAACTAGATTAGCTGTCAAGTTGCCAACCTTCAACACTACCATGATCATATATAAATCTTTGGACAATGGATGATGTCTATGATCACATATCAAACTTGGGGGCAATGGATGATGTCTGTGGCCACATGGGGCAATGGATGATGTCTGTGGCCACATGGGGCAATGGATGATGTCTGTGATCACATATCAAACTTGGGGGCAATGGATGATGTCTGTGATCACGTATACAACATGGGGCAATGGATGATGTCTGTGATCACATATCAAACTTGGGGGCAATGGATGATGTCTGTGGCCACATGGGGCAATGGATGATGTCTATGATCTCATATCAAACTTGGGGGCAATGGATGATGTCTATGATCACATATCAAACTTGGGGGCAATGGATGATGTCTGTGATCACATATCAAACTTGGGGGCAATGGATGATGTCTGTGATCACATATCAAACTTGGGGGCAATGGATGATGTCTGTGATCACATATCAAACTTGGGGGCAATGGATGAAGTCTATGATCACGTATACAACTTGAGGCAATGGATGATGTCTATGGTCACGTATACAACTTTGGGGCAATGGATGATGTCTGTGATCACGTATACAACTTGAGGCAATGGATGATGTCTGTGATCACATATACAACTTGAGGCAATGGATGATGTATCATGTATACAACTTGGGGGCAATGGATGATGTCTATGGTCACATATACAACTTTGGGGTAATGGATGATATCTATGATCACATATCAAACTTGGGGGCAATGGATGATGTCTGTGATCATGTATACAACTTGGGGGCAGTGGATGATGTCTATGATCACATATCAAACTTGGGGGCAATGGATGATGTCTGTGATCACATATACAACTTGGGGGCAATGGATGATGTCTATGATCACATATCAAACTTGGGGGCAATGGATGATGTCTGTGATCACGTATACAACTTGAGGCAATGGATGATGTCTATGGTCACATATACAACTTGGGGGTAATGGATGATATCTATGATCACATATCAAACTTGGGGGCAATGGATGATGTCTATGATTACATATCAAACTTGGGGGCAATGGATGATGTCTGTGATCACGTATACAACTTGAGGCAATGGATGATGTCTGTGATCACGTAAACAACGTGGGGGCAATGGATGATGTCTGTGATCACGTATACAACTTGAGGCAATGGATGATGTCTGTGATCACATATACAATGTGGGGGTAATGGATGATATCTATGATCATGTATAAAACATGGGGCAATGGATGATATCTATGATCACGTATAAAACATGGGGCAATGGATGATATCTATGATCACGTATACAATGTGGGGGCAATGGATGATATCTATGATCACGTATACAATGTGGGTGTAATGGATGATGTTTGTGATCACGTATAAAACATGGGGCAATGGATGATATCTATGATCACGTACACAACTTTGGGCAATGGATTAGGCCTACCTTTAACAACTGTATAGTCAAAAGCTCAAACTATTTGTTTTACTGAAGTATTTGATGTGGGCTTTGTGTGTACAAGTCTAGTAACGTGTAAAAAGACTCACCCAGTTGACATGGATATGTTTTGGTTAGTCAGTGACTATTTAGCTTAATAGGAAGGTGACGATAGAGAAGTGACTTGTAGACTTGACTAGCTACAAACTAATTATTTTCCACTTGGTGGTGTGCTGTTCAGTTACATCAACGAACATTAGGTTTCTCCTGTAGTAAATCTATATCTGTGTACATATGTTGGCAGCAGGAAACTTACAAGGACAGTCCTAGTGAAGATGAGGACAACAATATGAAAGATGATGTGATGGAGATTAGTCAGCTTCCTAAGGCAGGGCAGCAGATTGACATCAGTGGTAAGAAGATTGCTGTTTGTAAATTAATCTACAAAGCTTGAGGAATAATGGAGACATTTACAATTGTTTGGCTTATGTTGCTGAATAGAATCAAATGTGTTACTTGTAAACTGATACCTGAAACACCATATTTTTAACTTAATCCTACATTACTCCTTAATGCATTTACTGCTTACTTTTGACAGAAAATGAAGCTGTGATGAGGAGGAAAATTTGTTCCTCTTACAGAAGCAGGGTCCCAATTACCAGCTGCCACGTCATTCTAGAAGTGTTGACGTCACAGAAATCTCTGTTGGTCACCGGACAAACAAGTTGTGTTTATAAATTGTTCCCCAGTTAATTGCTGACTTCGGCTGTACCCGTGGTCTTCAAGCTTTCAAACAACCAAGTCTTTTCCTTCCTGTGATTTGTGGTATCTGAGTTTGATGTTTATATGCAATAATATTTATATTAGCATGTGAATGTGACAGTTTGACTCTCACTTGAACGTCACTCCAGCATTCAAGGTGCACAAGTTCAAAAGGGATTTTCCAGTTCACGCATTTGGGGTGACAGCCGTTTACTATCAAGGTCCCTGACAACCATTTTGCGGTCCTTCAAACCATTGTCAGAGGCAGATAAACAGAGGCAGTTATGCTCAAGACGAGACAGCGCTCAAGGCTCTGGAGCATGTGTCTCAGAATCTTGGCCAGCACTCGTCTAAGTCAGGCAATTATCAGTCAAGGCACTGATCCTTCAAGCACCAGACCATGGCAAAGAGCGAGGCAAGGGCAGAGGCCATGGCTCCAATCAATCCTGCAGGGGTAATTCCAAGGGTAGGAGCGGGGAACGGAGGGGGGAAACATTGGCCAGTGGACAATCATGACTGGGTTTCCCACCCGATAGTCGACACACTAGTAGGTGGGAGACTACGCCTGTTTTGGAGAAATTGGATCGGTATTCAACTTTACACTCTCAACATCATAAGGCATGGGTACCGCCTCAGCTTGGTGCCAGACCCACCACTGACAACGACTCCCATACCATGGCTCCATCCCAGGAAACAATATAAAAACTCTTGATGGAGAAGAGAGCCATAGGAGTTGTGCAGACCCCAGCCTTGACGCCGTTGCTCTGCTCTCCTATCTAATCTTGCTCGTACCAAAGAGGGAGGATTCCAACAAGATGCGGATGATACACAACCATGCCTTGTTGAACTATGTTACCTGAATCCCTGTCTTCCCTACTTCCAACTCATAACCTTGAGACTGCTCAGGGGCAGCATCAATGCTTACGATTCCCTGATCAGCCTCAACTTGCAGGATGCTTACCTGCATGTTCCTATTCACTCCAGTGACCGTCGGTTCCTCTGGTTCCAGTTCAATGGAATCCACCTGTCTGCGCCTGAGAAACATCCGGCTCGAGTTGTACATTGATGACTGCATACTGAATTAACTAGATGCAGCAATCCTAGCCTGTCACTGGAATTTCACCAGGCGCATGTTATATCAACTGGTTTGGATAGTGAACTAATTCCATCCTACCGACTGCAGTTCATAGGAGGCTTTTTTTAGACAGATCTGGACCTTCTAACAGTGCCATGGAACAGATGGGTCAAGATCCTACACCATGTATACCCTGCCCTTCAGCAGCCCATAACACTTAACGAATGGCAAGTGCTCCTGGGACTGCTTACGTCAGCACAGGATATGATGATCAAGGGTCTGTTACACTTGCATGCCAAATTCAACAGTTCTTGGCTCCTTACATCAGACGGCAGGACCTGTCTGAATCCATCGCTCTGCCATCTCACCTCAGGACTTACCTCAGTTGGTGGATGGTAGAGTCGAACTTCTCAGGAGGTGTTGAGTATCTGGAGGACCAGACGGCTTCAGGGCATCATCAACAACCTAGAGTTGGAGGCACTCAAACTGACGATAACACATTGAAAGGAGCACCTCCAAAACACCAAACTCGCCATCTCAACCGACAACATCACTGTAGTATGGTGGGGACAACTCACACTCTCTTCTCAAACAGACGTTCAGGTTTTCAGTCTGGTGGATCAACTGGGTCTGCGCTTCCTGGTCTAGCACATATCTGGTTGTGGTATGTGTTGGCAGACGTGTTATCCAGGCCAGACCGAGTGGCGCCCAAGGAGATGAAACTTCACCCAGAGGCATTCCGTCTCGTATGTCAGAGCCTGGGTCAACCAAACATCGACCTATTCATCACACACACAAACTGCTAGATCTAATCGTATGTCTCACCGATACTGGATTCTGCAGGCATGGGTGGTTGATGCGCTCAGCATCCCATGGGAGGGGCTTTTCCACCCCCGAAACCTCTACCAGGGCAACCAGGAGCCTCCCTCCCATATTGATTGCTCCTTGGTGGCTGGCGAGAAGGTGGTTCATAGTCCTCAGAAATTTTGCAGGAAGCAACACACTACCTCTGCTGGGGTGGTCCAACCTATTCATGCACCTACACAGCAGGTGGCCACACCCTTCACCAGGTATGTTTCATCTGTACGCCTGGTTCATCTTCAAAGATCCCTTGGCAAAAAGGTTATCCTGCTCGAGTGATGAAGGCCATTGCTATGGCACATAGGCCCTCAACTTGTGGCCTTTGTCACGATAAGTGGTGATCCATTGAGACCTTTTGTAAGGAAAAGCGGCAGGACCCAACAGCAGCCTCGTCTCAGTTCCTAGCTGAGTATCCCATACAGCTGCATACCAAATGGCACTTGAAGGGTAGCACCATTACTACATAGTTGGTATCTTCAGTGTTGGCAGTTCCGGCAGATGGCAGAATGACCAAGATACTGGAACTGCAAGCTCTATGATGCTCCTTTCAGCTTGAGAATCAGAAGGCCAAATTTTGTCCCCTTGTGTGGGATTTGAATATGGTACTTTGATGTTTTTGTGGACCTCCCTTTGAGCCTCTTCACGCAACATGATTGTTTAACCTCACCAAGAAAACAATATTTCTCTTGGCGCAAGCTACAGCGACAAGTGTGAGCGAGCTTCTTGCACTCAACATCACTCGTGTACGCTTCGAGCCTGGTATGCATGGAGCGGTTCACCTCAGGCTGTGCTGGGATTTTATAGCTAGGACCCAGCTTCCTGGATAGCCCAACCATTCTTTCACCATCCCACCTTTATCATCAATTGTGAGCGTAGAAGATGAGGAGGAACTCTGATTGTGCCCAGGCTGTGCACAACAAATTTTCATCTGTCGCTCAAGGACTCGGCATGGTGTGTTAAAATGGTTATTCATTCCTGATTCTCAGATGTCCACTACCGAAGTCAGACGCAACACTATTTCTTTATGGTTACATGTTATCATCCTTCAGGCTTTACGAGATTGTCAATCTCGAGCCACCCAGAACTATTAATCCCCACCAGATTCGGACGGTTGCCTCGTCGATGGCTCTACACAGTATTTATGCGGTTAGAGCTATTATGGAAGGATGTTTCTGGAGGTCAGACTCAGTCTTTGACAGTCACTACCTGAGGGACATGGCATTACAAGACACCGAGGGCATTCGCAGTTTTAGACCTCTGTAGCTAGGCAGGTTGTAAAAACAATCATGTCCAGAGCCAGGCTTACCCAACTCACGTAGTCATGCTTGATCAGTAGGTTCTTGCTGTTTTGCAGTTGTGGCTTGGTGTTCCAGTCTCTAGACTCAAGTGCATGCTATTGTCTATTACTGTTTGTTTACCCGGACTTAATCATACTCTCGTTACCTTTCCACAGACAAGATTAGGTAATCAGTTACCGATGTACGCAGACAAGATTAGGTGATCAGTTACCGATGTACGCAGACAAGATTAGGTGATCAGTTACCGATGTACGCAGACAAGATTAGGTGACCAGTTACCGATGTACGCAGACAAGTTGCGCCGCACGGTTGACACAACTGCAGGTCATGAGAGTGTTTACTGAGTTAAGTATCCCGCCTCCATACCGTCGGATACAGATGCATTAGGGAGTAATGCAGGACAAGTTGAAAAACCTAGTAAAATCCAGATATTTTTTATATTTGTATACTTATCCTGCATTACATCATCACAGACCTGCCTCCCTGCGATATCTTCAACAAGATTAGGTGTGATTAACAGTAATATGGAGTTCTGTGACGTTACTACTTCCAGTATGACGTGACAGCTGGTGATTGGGGTCCTGATTCTGTCAGGGGAACAACATTTTTTCATCAGCTGGACCCTTCACAGCTTCGGGGTTTGTTTTTTTCGAAAGTTAGCAGTAAATGTGTTAAGGAGTAAAATAGGATAAGTATACAAATATTTAATATCTAGATTTTACTAGAGTTCCATAATATAGTAATCAATGCTTGATCTGCTTTGAAGTCAATCGATCCTTGTATAGCTCATGTTCCTGAGTCAAGGGAGTTAACTGATTGTTAAAGTCCCGTTTCAACCCCGCTGAACTAAGCTGGAATTTGGTGGCTCGATCATAGCATGTGCTAACATGGCAAGATAAACATCTTTGGTAGACAATAAACATTTGTGGTACAGACATCAAGTGATGGCAAGAGATGTACGTTCTTGGTATTATTCTAAATGTACAAAGGTATTATTGACCATAAATATATGTATAGTGCAAAGGATGCACAAGAAAGTTGTTTGAATAGTATTGATCAATGCAGCAAAGACCTGATGAAGGAGTTAGCATATACTCCAAAATGTTGTGTTCCTCATAATAAAGAAGTTGACATCCATAAATTTTCTTCCTTTATCAAGATCTTAATTGTAATAAAAGGGGTCTTACCTCGCAAAGTGCAAGGGTAAAATCTGGACTTTTATTGTCAGTTAACTCCCTTCCCTTGGAAAGATGGGTATTGGTCATGGGTTTGAAACCTAGATTTGACCTTATTATGTTCTTTGGGTTGTCGGTAGCATACCTGTGCTTGTTAGTTTCACCAATGCTGTATCTTCGGAAAGTTACTCCAGAAATTTATTGCACAATAGCTAGTTCAATAGGTTTTTTTTATGTGATTTTGCAGCCAGTTTTACAGAGACAGACCTACAACATATGACAGAAGAGCAGAGGATAGAAGTTGCAATTCAGCAGAGCTTGATGGAGTCTCAGGGTCCAAGCACATCCCTCAGCACCTCTGACACTGACCTGAGCAGAAGCCTCATTGTGAAGGAGTGCAGTGGAGCATTCCTTGCTTCTCAGACTGATGAACCAGAGTCGGCATCTCCAGAATTTCCTCTAATTAAGCAGAGAGGTCAATCAAAAAGGGAGAAAGAAAATGAGCTTGTTAATGGTGAAAGCATGACAAGAGACAGGACAGAGTGTGAGTTGAGGGCAGATGTTGGTGGTGAAACTAGTCAGGGACAGATGTGTGTCAGTGGGGTAGAGACTGGTGTGGGGAGGGCTGAGGACAGTGGTACGTTTGATGAGGTTGATGGGGCTGTGTTGGAGCAGATATTCAGTGAAAATGAGGAGGATGTGTTTGGTAGTGAACTCTCTGTGATAAAGCCATCTGTAAGGATAACAAAGGATGAATTGACTCCAGGAGAAATAGAGCACATATTTGGAGATGAATTGATGCCCAGATCAGAATCACATAATGATCGGGATAAAGAGAAAACAGACAGGAAAAAAACAGCTCTCAGTGATGAAGTTGGTGAGTATTTTGTTCAAGGAAAAAGTGGCATTAATTATGAAATTTGGTCTGGAATTGGTTGATGAATAGTTGATGAAATGTTTTTCCATGCCAGTTTGCCTGTTTGTATGTTTAATGATAAATGTATGTACTGGACAAGTTTAATTTGATCATGAGAAATGATTTGTTGGAATAATGGAAGGAGTACAGTGCTTCATCTGTTAATGATTCCAAATTAAAAGTTTGTGTATTCAAAAATGAATCACATATGACACATTTTGAATATTCTAAGTTCTTTATTTGAAGCCTCACATACCAGTTTTGAAATTAAATTCTTTTCTGAAGAAGTAAAGTGACTGTTTCAGTAGATCTCACATGTTGGGAGGAAAAAGAAAATTTGAAGCCTGAGGTTGAGTCTAATGGTGTTGCAAAACAGGATCATGAATACCCAGAGGAGCCCACTCAAGAGGAGATCCTATTGATCAAACAGAAACGATCTCAGAATGAGGTAACCCTTAGACAGAATAATCAGGCCACTTTTCTATCATACTGTTTGTTAGCAGGAAACTGTTGACTATTGCAGGCTTGTTATAGCAGTAATATGCTGTCACTAATGTCAGTGGTTTCAAAATTGCATTAGCTAAAACTTAAACACAACCTTTGTATCATTATCAGAGAATGAGCGACCATGATTCTGCTGTTATGATTTATTATTTTATAGGAGAATTATCTTTGATAGAAGTATCAACTGTGTTGTTACAGAATGGTGTGTTGCCCTGTTCCTACCGGCTGGTCAGTATAGTCAACCACATAGGTCACAGCTCTTCAGCAGGTAGGTTGGTTACAGGGAGGAACACATACTTCTATGAAGTACGTGAAGCATGTGTTGTGTATTGACTGAAAATCCACAAATTATTCTTCTCATAATGGTTGAGAAAATTTGCATTTCAACCACACATGCATATATACCTTTAAAGTGAACATTTGTTGAGAAAAGGATAAAGCAATATTCTGATATCTGTTGAAAGTAATTCAACATCAGTTTTATGTCAAAACGTCAATATTTCCAGTCGGTGCCATTCTTGAACAATTATCATTGGGCTATGTAGAATACAAGCTTTGGATTATGACATGATCAGGTAGAGAAGTGTTGAAGAAATTCATGAAAATATTGATTTTCAAAACATTTAAATTTTAATGAACCCGTTCATTGGACCAGTATAAACTTGTCACCATATGTTTGCGTTCATCACTGAATCGAGCTTGGCACTAAGACTGCTCATTTACAAATATAAGAAATGTGTCACAAACCTCTAAAATGAGCCTTTTTAACTCTCTCGCCTTACCACTGTCATGTCTACATTTGATGTTGGTTTAAGTCTTCTGGGGTGGTGTGGTAGTCTTGTGGTTGAATCGTTGGCTCGTCACGTCAGAAACACGAGTTTGCTTCTGCACCTCAGCACACTTAGTCAAGCCAATTTACAGTGTGGGCCCTAATCATATATCAGCCTATAAAATCTAAATGGTGTGTTACAAAAAAAAAATATAAAAATTTGTGTTTCCAGGTAACATTGATTATTCTATAACCATTCTGGGAAGTTAGCCGCTAGTGTGAAGAGTGCTGTATATTTTCTTTCTGTCTACCAATTTTATCTGAGGGATTACAGGTGGCACAACCGTCTAAGGCACTGCAATTTTCTATGCAGAGTTGTGTCTTATGGGCATGCAAAAAATGTGGGTGTGGGTGTGAATCCAGGTTCACCACATTGTGTTTTTAGGTTTTGTCAACACCATGTCAATGCTCCTGGGTTTCAAAAAGTGGTAAATGTCTGGGAGCTGCATCACTTCAGGCTTTCCTACCATATCAATATCATGATATAACAGGAATACTGTTCCAAGCAGCATTAAACCCAACTCAGGCACTCTCTAAAAATGATGCAAAAACAAAAAGTTCAGGCAAGCCGTCTTAGAAGTTTTTCACAAACTGTATCAGTGTTTACTTCTTTTACAGGTCATTATATCAGTGACGTGTACAACATGAAGAGGAAGTCTTGGCTCAGCTTTGATGATGCTCATGTCTCTAAACTGCCGGAAACGGAAATAAAAACCCGTCGAGAAAGAAGTGGATATATATTCTTCTATATGTGCAAGTAAGAAAGCTAACTTGTAACTAGTAAAGCAACTATATCTCATTAGAATTAGAGTACAGTAAGTCTTGCATGTGATATGTAAGAGCGGTGATGAGGATCCGTTATGTGTGATCTTGTTCTGTTTCTTTGCACCCAGACTTGCAGCTTGAAACACTTCTCACTCACACATGAGAAGCTAACATAAGCTGATATAACTACAACCATATTTAAATTTGCGTAGATGATACTATTCAGATCTACAAAGAAGATACTTTCATCAATGTATATATTAATATCAACTATCTATTAAAAAAGTATCTACTATTGAATTGTCGACTTTTGTAAAAATATTTTAGTCAGTTATATATAACCTCTTGGTTAATTAATAATGACGGATTTGTTTGTCTTTCTACCTTGACATGTCTTTATTGAGGTACGATCTAAACATTACATGAGTAAATCTTCATTTCAATGGGTCAAGGTTACTGATGCATGACACACCGCACTCTCTTACAACTGTAATGAAGAGAGGAGAGTCACAAATGTTCTCTAAACTGCAAACAAACAACTATAGGTCATTATTAAAAATTTTAGCAAAATTATATGTCAACTATAGCATAGTTTAAGTCTGGGAAACTCTTGAATATGTTGATTATCCTGATTTCTCCATTATGAAAATTAGGTTTAGGAGGTAAAAAATGAATATGAAGGGGTGAGAATCACTCAAACTATAAAAACTGTCATAAACTAATACTCGTCATCATTCTATGCAGCGCTGAAGGTACAATTCAGCAGTTTGTGATTTCATTTTATCGCTTATAGTTAGACATTTTGAAATGATCTCGGTGTGTACCAACATACTCCCAAACATTTAATTAAATGAACAATAATTAAGTAATTACCTGTTTTTACAGTGTAAATGGTCGTATAAACTAATATCCAACTATGGTCGCAACTTCGCAATACAATATCATTGTCTGAGTAACAATACATACGATTATAATATCACATGTGTAGATGAAAGTATCTTCTATGAAGATGTCAGTATCCTCTCATCTACTCGAGGCAAGGGAGTTAACTGATTACAAAAGTCCAAAGTTTCCACCCTTGCTTAACTAGGCTGGTCTTATGGAGTTGCATTTTGGCTGGACTAACAAGTCTATGCACAATCCAATCAAAATCACGCAACGAAATTGAAATCCGTTTCGTAAACTGTTATGCAGATTTCGGTCGATTGCATGATTTGCAAAAAATGTGCACCGCTAACTCATTGTCAACAGATATTTACCTAATCTTTTCATGTTTTTAATTAAGGTGCTCTCGTGATTTGATGCACTTCGCGATGTAAGACCTGTTTTATCATAATGTAGATCTTTATTATCAATCAGATCGTCTTGACTGGCGCCGCCATTTTGTTTGAAACAAATGCAAGTGATATGTTAGGTGGAATTTGATTGGTCCATAGGAGAGGCACAGAATGGACATAACTCGTAATAGCCACTGGTGGCGCTACGATCGAGCCCAGGAATTACAGCCTAGTTTGGCAAGGGTGGAAACTGGACTTTTGTAGTCAGTTAACTCCTCGGGAAGATGGTATCAGCTACGTAGATGATAAAAAAAGTTACAGACTGTGGCACAAATATGCTTCCATAATTCTGTCTTTAAGAACTTTCACTGTCATTTGTAGGGAGGTGTTCGAGGAGTTGGAGAGTTGACATACAGCTTCAGTATTGAGCAAGGAGAGCTAGAAGAAAGGGTGTTTCTTTTTAAAAAAACATGTAATTCATTTGTACATTGTCCATGTATGAGGCTCTATTAGATATATTTCTACCAATGTTCATAAAATTATGTTATATTTGATTGATAAAATAACTTAACCATGATACCATTATTCTGTCTGCTGTTGTTTGTTCATTTACCAAAGCTGAATTATTTTCTGGTGATCCAACCAGGCAGCATTTGTTTAATACCAGCTTTTGTGACGGCTTGATTGTGTGTCATCATACCCTGATGGGGTGAGACGTTGCTTGTAATATTAATCACTGGTTTGCTGGTCCAGGCTTGATTTTTCTTTTTCACAGTGTGCTACAGCTGGAATATTGCTGAGTGCTGCATTAAACAATAAATAATAATTGAAAATCATTCTTTTAACGTCATTTTATTATGACACCAAAAATATCATATAAGTAAGGTATTTTATGTATATTGTGGCACGCAGTAAGGCCATGCAATGGAATTTTGGTGAGTGTTTTGAACCACTGAGTGACCTACACCAGTTCATAGGACACTGACCTGTCAAAAGGGAAGAAAGATATTTAGAAAATCTATTCTAAGTTGAGTTTTTAGCCTTATCAACATTGATAACGATAGTTTGTCTATTGGACCCATACACCTACCCTGAGGTTGGTAAACCTTGACAACCTGCTTCACTTTGGACTATCCATGTGCGGTTCCACCCAGGACTGATCGAATGTGTCCCCAGCACTCGATTTCTTGTAAGAGGCAGTTGGAGAGGTTGGTCATGCTTGGCAACCTGTTAGTTGTGAGTCCTGGTCCTGGAAGGTGAATAAACCGGTTTTGTCTGGCTCGGACTATTATTTACAGGCTGCAAGTAGCTGGATTATTGCTGACTGCTGGCAGTCTAGACCAGACCATCCAGTTATTGTCATCATGAGCATCAATTGATGGAAATTGAGATGCTATGACACTACATTGACCAAGTCACCAAGCCTGATCACCGGATCCGTTTAGTTGACTCAGCAGATTGCAGGTTGCTGGGGACCCCTATTCCTACTGGACATTTCCATTGGTCAATCTGGATGTGATGCCGCTCCTCTTTAACCAGTTTAATAATAATAAGACAAAGCAGTCTGCAGGCACATTTATTTCCATGTTCACTCAAGGCAATGTACATATTATGAAACTGTTGAATCAAGTCATCCAAAATACATTGTCTTGATACTAAGTTTTGCAGCTCCTTGTCACTGTGTCCAGACATTGCTTTCCAACTGCTTTGACAAAATCATATTGGAAGTCGTGTTATATGATATTCCATTATATTTGTCGTTAACAATTTGCAAACATGATACATATGTATCAAATGTTCAAACAGTCCCCTCCCTCGTGAATTTCCATGGACAAGATACCGTTTGTTGAAATCTGTTTTGGTTCAATGTTGTCCTCTCTGATGTATGTGACTCTTTTCTTGTTGATATGAATCTTAAAGAAGGATTGTGTAACATCACATGTCAAATGTCTCTACAACAGAAGCAATGAATGGCAAAAGAGGCAACTTACCATTTACTATAAGGACTGTATTTCGGAGTAAGTAGAGGCAGTATAAGTATGGTAACTGTAAAGAATGAGATGGACTCATCAACATCTAAATGTCTTAGTAACCCCTGTCAGTTTAATGATCAACAGTGTAAGTCATTAGTTCACCCATTATAATCCAGGTAAGACAGGTCTTTTGCAACTATACTTGCCGTTAGAGTCGACTAAGTCAGCGGGTGGACAGGCTAGCTGACTTGGTCATATCCCAATTGCATAGATCGATGCTCATAATGTCAATCACTGGTCTGGTCCAGACATTATTTACAGACAGACGTCAAATAGCTGTAATATTGCTTAGTGTGGCGTTAAACAACAAACAAATAGATCAATATCCGGTGTAGCAACCCTGTACACGGATCACATTCACAAACCTCTCATGCTCAAAATCGGACACCTGATCCTCAACAGGGATGTGTTGCCATTCCTCATGACATGCCTTGGTCATCTTTGAATATGCTGTACCTGATGGTCAATGGCTCTAAACCTACGTCCCAACTGATCCCATAGATGCTCGATTGGATTCAGGTCTGGGCTTCAAGAATGCCAAGGCATAATTTCAATGGCGCTCTGTAAATGGTCAGTCACAGTTTGTGCTCGGTGGGGTTGGGCCGGGCATTGTCGTCTTTTGTCCATTTAATGTCCCCCTGAACTGTGACCAAATCAAGTTTACAATCAAAGCAGCAACATCTCGATACACCACATGCCTCTTTCTCCTGGATGTTGCGCTGATCAGATGGTTCCCCTTGCCGCCAGACTCGAGTCCTACCCTTAGTTTGGTGCAATTAAAACCGACTCCCAAGTTCCAGTTTGCACGAGTCTGACACCAGGTCAAACGGTCCTGTATGGTTTGGGGTGAGAGGAGTGGACGTTTTATTGGTCTTCTCGCCCTTAATCCTGCTGCATCCCGGCTAAGGGACACTGTTGTGGTGATGCCAGTGATGACCCAGAACAGTGCAAATTGAAGTTGGCAGCCCTTTCGCCAGGCATTCAAGGACCCTGTCCTCTCTGGCACTGGCATTCCGTAGACGTTCTCACTTGGTCCAGTCTATGCAGCGTTAGAAATTGGCACTTGTCCTGTAGTCCTTGCCAAACTGCTCAATAGTCAAAGTATCATAAGGACTAGTGGAAATTTGCCCTTTTTAAGGGTTTTGCTAAAAATGTTAGTTTCTACCGCTCCAATGTGTGGCTGATTTCAGAATGATGCCATTCACTGGATTGTCTGGTCCAGACTCGATTATTTAGATCGCCGTCCAAAATTTGGAATATTGCTGAGTGCGGCGTTAAACAACAAACAAAGCATACGGTTCGCATAAACTCGGCCACAAGGTTGGGCAGTTCAAGGGGCTACCATTCTACAGGCAGATGATATGTCAATATAGAGTACCATTTGAAAATATCCACATTGCAAATGCAAAATAACCCTTCAAATTTGGTGGTGTGGTACTTTTCACAAAGTGTATAGAAGCTACAGCCTAGATGCCCCTCCTATATGTTTGGACCGAAACACTTTGAACTGGTTAGTGAGATGTCAGCTAAAATATCCCGTTCAGAATTGATACCCATCAACTTTTGCTTGTGAGGCGCTTAATGGCTCGCCTAATAAGCATGCCATTGTACCCTGACAGTGGGATGCAGCTCATAAACTACCACATGAGAGTCAGTTAAATAGGAGTTCAATGATCAATGCTTAAGTAATCGTTTACTTACGGTGTACTTCTTCGGACAGATAAGTACTCGTACGTCAAATTTCACAGTATCCTTCAACTGCATGCGTTTTTGCCATTTGCCATTACAACGAATGTAAGCATATATGATATGATGTTCCTCTAATACTGAAACTGCCTTCGGTTTGACTTTAACGTGTAGAGGTGTCTTTGAGCCTTGTCGAAAACTCATTTTGAAACTGAAAACAGAATAGAGAACTGCTAAAACACGTCCTCTTCTGACAGGATCACTTAAATAAATCTTATTTCCACTGGGAAGTCACGACATACAACCAAACAGGAATATCGTCCTCAGGCGATGGGAAACATGAAGGTAAATCGAAGTCGGTTTAAAAATAGCCAGGTCATCAATCTGCTCTAGAGCAACTCTTGCCTTTGGTACCAACAGCAGGGTACCCTTGAAGATCCGGGTTAGAATTTATCTTTAGCAAACCATGCGTGTCGTAAGAGGCGACTAACGGGATCGCTTGGTCAGGCCTACTTGGATGATTCATGGCATCGTATCCCAATTGCGTAGATCGATGCGCATGAAGTCAGTCACTGGATTGTCTGGCCCAGACTCGGATTATTTACAGACCACCACCATATAGCTGGAATATTGCTGAGTGCGGCGTTAAACAGAAACAACCAAAAACAGCAGCGTACGACCGAACCAGACCAGGCCGACCCCGTGTTTCAACGGCCAACAAGGATACATCTACGTAGTTTGTGGTAAAGGTGTTCAGCAGCAGTCCAGGTGTTCTGACCAGATGGTACAAAAACGTGAGGCAAGTTTCAGATCCTGACGACATGTCGGAAATGTAATATCGATGCAACATCGTCACCTGGACCAGTGATGTCAAACACGCAGAAAGATTTGCTTCATTGACAAGGAGAGATGTTATGCTGCGTCGGGTCGATTGGGTATTGCCATGGAGTACGGACGTCGCCATCACCGTTTTCCCGCACAACAGGGAGGTTGAAAGATTTGGCGGGAGCAGCATAATACTGTGGGCGGGTAAGGCAACATACCTGCTAAACGCAATTGTGATGAAATCTCATGTGAACAATGCTGACATCATCTTTCCTAACAATGCCAAGACAGCGTACAAGATGTGACCGCAGCATACCTACGGAACCATTCCGGGGTAGAGTAGGTCTTCAGCAACCCATGCTTGCCGTAAAAGGTGACTATGCTTGTCGTAAGAGGCCACTAAAGGGATCGGGTGGTCAGGCTCGCTGACTTGGTTGATGCCTGTCATCGATCCCAATTGCGTGGATCGATGCTCATGATTTTAATCACTGGGTTGTCTGGTTCAGACTCGATTATTTACAGACCGCCGTCATATAGCTGGAATATTGCTGGGTGCGGCGTTAAACAAAAAACCAACCAACCAACCTGCCGTGACCCCTACTTGACGCTAATGGTGGACACACGAGATCAAGTTCTCTTAACCTTGACCTTTGTCAGTTCCCATGCAGTGCCTTCACACTGTTGCCCTGTTTGCAATACGTCATCACTCATTAAGTGTTAGATGTGCAATAAATATGTGTTACTTTTGTAACTCTCGCTGTGCGTTTCGGTTTTTTAAAAAGTATATAATTCAGACGTACTCATGAGTCTTCGCTTCAGCCTGTACTTCCAATGCCCAAGCAAACTTGCACGGCAATGCTGTCACTACTTCGCCTTTCTAAATACAATAAGAAAACAGCGTTAAAATGATCCCCGGCCATGTGGCATATTAGAATTGTGTTTGTTCATATAATGTTTAATATACACGGAGAAAGGGAGGGTAACTCAAGAACAAAACATTACAGCATCAGTCTTAACAAGTTCACTGAATTGTTTTTGTGT